AGAAGAAGAAAACGAGGATGGGGAATGAGAGCCATGGACCTGGTAAGAATTAGAATTATGAGAGAGAAATTGGAGTTTGAGACAGGTATACGCACCATACTCAGGCAGATTATATATATATATCAGGAGCGTATAATGACAAATACAATGTTAAATACAACAAATACAAGGTATAATGACAATTTGTCATTATACGCTCCTGATATATTATTTATTATATTTATTTATTTATATATTATATATATATATATATATATATATATATATATATATATACGTATATGCACACACACACACACACGCACGCACACACACACACCACACACACACATAGAGAGAGAGAGAGTGAGAACGGCCTGTATGTCGTAGCTATCATTAAGTCAGTGTAACGCTCCCGTCTCTACAAGTATAAAACGAAGCCCGCATGTGTAGCGGAGGCTCCACGGAATCAACTGCTGCTAAAATATATATAGGTTCAACCAGGTTATCGGCGACGAGACGCTGAGCCACTATCACGACCCTACGTTGGTTCGCGAGCTTCAATTGATGCTATTGAGCTATAAAGTTAGCGATAGGCAATCAAAACAAGAACTATATAGAAACGTTTTAGTATCAGTCCGACAGATGGCGCCACGGCTACGAGAACGTATAATTATTTAGAGAGCGTGTATTACGCTCATACGGCCCTCATACTTACGAGTTCATACACTCTGGTTTCTTATATGATTAAATACATACCAGACTATATAACAGCAACAGTCATATGATGATAACAACTACAAGATATTATGCCCCCGTTAATAATAATAATAATAACATAACGCCCGCGTTTGTGCTACGTCACATGTTTAGCAAGGTAACTATGACGACGAGGAGGAGCAGACGCTGGAGAAGACGCTGAAGCTGGCGCTCATCATCGTCTGCATCATCCTGCCCGTCATCGTCATCACGCTCATCTGTATCTGGTGCTCGGAGGTCAACAAGTAGGTCACGCACACACTCACCTCGCTGCTATCCGCGCTATATGCTTCTTTCTCCATTAATTTTGTATCCTAGCGTATACCGTGTGTATTTTGTATTGTAGCGTATAGCGTATAGCTGCCTTCACCGTGTGTGTTAATGTTCTATCGCTTCTCTTTTTTTGGTTGATTGTTTTTCTTATTTCTGTTGCTGCGTTCATGCCGTGCTACTACTAAGTTTAATGTTTAAATTTTTTTTGCCTTATAGGAGTATATATATGCGCGCGCGTGCGTGCGTGCGTGTGTGCCGCTACTACTGTGTGTGTGTGTGTGTGTGTGTGTGTGTGTGTGTGTGTGTTTGTGTGTGCGTGTGTGTGTGTGTGTGTGTGTGTGTATGTGTGTGTGACGTGTGTGTGTCTCTGCGCGCGGTTTGGCGAATGCGTGCGGGTTCGGCGTGCGTGCGTATATGTATGCTTGCGTGTGTGTGGCACGCCGTGGACGCTGCAGCATCTCGCTGCGTAATATGCCTGTCCGCGTGCCGAGGCGCTATTGCACGTCTGTAAGGCGAAACATTTCGTTAACCAAATTGTCTACCTAGCGCTTTTCAGGCTACAAGAGAAGCTGCCGGGCAGCGAAGCGCATGCATTCGGTAAGTGTACCCGGTGCGACCTTCCAAAAATACAGCTTACCTTGACGCTACCGATGATTTAAATCTTCAATATTAACTCGGGAAGAAACCCGCGCTCTATACCATACTATAATACACGTGAAGAAAAAAAAAAAAACCAACTAGTAGAAGATACATGCTATCGATAATAATAACATATATCATCGTGAGCTTCACACTGAACGCGGGTCACATATTAATGGGGGTGTAAAAACAATCGCGGCATTACTAGCCCATAAAAACCTGAGCACGGCCAATGGACTTGACCGCACGACAAACTCGCGCATATAGTCAGTACCCGTAACCCCAGCTAGCCGGTTGACAGACAGCTCTTGACAGCAGCTGTTGACAGCCGCGTTGACAGCACCGAGTTTACACGCAGCTCTGACAGCAGCGTGACAGCAGCATCTGACAGCCTAGCACTGACAGCCAGGCGTTGACCGCAGCGTGTTGACAGCAGCGCTGAAGCAGGGTTTACCATCAGGCGTTGACCGAGCAGCTCGGGTTGACAGGCAGGGTTTACAGGCCGAGTCGTTGACGAGTCAGGCCTCATTGGACAGCAGCCGTTGACAACGCAAGCGTTACGAGCGAGTTGGTTGAGCAGCACGAGGTTGGGGACATTGCGGTTGACAGCAGACGTGCACAGCCAGCGGTGACAGCTGACCGGTGATCAGCCACGTTGACAAAGCAGCATGACAAACATGGGTCTTAGCCTCAGCTTGACAGCAGCCTCCGTTTTGACAGTCAGCGTCTGACTAGCATGGCGTGGAGCAGCAGCGTTGTACGGGGGGGGGAGGCGAGCGTTGCACAGCAAGGCGGGTTTGACAGCAGGCGATTGACAGTCAGCTCCGTTGACAGCAGGCATTGACAGGAAGCGTTGACGAGGAGCGTTGATCAGGCAGGCGTTGACAGGAGCTGGTGACAGACAGGCATTGACAGCAGCGTTGACCGCAGCGTTGACAGCAGCGTTGACAGCAGCATTGACAGCAAGTTGACATCAGCGTTGACAGCAGGGTTTACAGCAGCGTTGACAGCAACGTTGACAGGAGCGTTGACAGGAGCGTTGACAGCAGCAGGACTCAGGATGATTGATGAGTCGATTCACTGAGTGATTACGTTTGAATTCTCCAACGCTCTGGATGATGACGATGTCATTGTCGCGGTCGCTGTCAGCTATGTCCGTGTCGTGATGTGACAGATGTCGTGATGCCAAGGACGATGCGCATACGCGCGTGCGTTCGAGTTAATCTGACTTGGTTACGCGGTATAGCTGATAGGTGTACAGAAAGAAATTCATTGTCAGTTCTTTGGGGGAATTTACTGGTTACTTTTCTAATTTTTACTTAATTAATTCATTAACCTTATTTCTAATAAACTTAAATAACGTTACGTTAACTTACTAATCTAAGGCAAAATCTGCTGTAGCGGTTCTTTATACGGTTACCTTCCTAAAGTTTTAACCCACCTTCCTAAATATCTGCAGCAATTAAGTTAAATCTGAATGCAGCAAAAAAGACAAGTAATTAACAAGGCGAAGGTATAGAGCAATGACACTATCGCATGCTTACCTCACCGGGCTCTACTGAGAAACATGTTTTACTAACGTTCTCTCACACATTCAAGTAATTTGTGTACGTATGGGAGGGAGTTCATAACGTGCATCAACCATAACAACACGGATATTTCTGTGTTGCATGCGCGCAACGATGATATTGCAAACAAAAAAAGCTGTTCCTGTGTGTTTAATTTGACGTGTGAGGGCACGCGTGAGTCTCCAATCACGGTACCCGTACGTAATAAGTGTGTCGCTTTACCTTCGGTTTGCTAATATGGTAGTTTCTACACATCGTGGTTAATAGCTTTGCTAGGTGAGGGATGTAATGGACGAGTGTGCGTTTTCAATGCGCTGCGCTTGTGTTTTATCTAACTTTACGTCTTCTGACGCATACGACATACGACTGTCAGGGCTGGGTTGTGTGGCGTGGTGCGCATTATCGGGGTCGTTTATCTTATTATTATTATTAGTAGCAGTATTTTATTTTTATCATCATTATTATAATTATTATTATTATGATGATTATTATGATTATTATGATTATTATTATTATTATGATTATTATTATTATTATTATTATTATGATTATTATTATTATTATTATTATTATCACCATCATCATCATCATCATCATCATCATTATCATCATCATTATCATTAATATTATAATCTTTTATTATTATTTAAACTTTGTTAGGGACATTATTGTTCTAGACTGGGCAGTAAACTGCCCTGCTGCTTCTAGCGCCCCGATCATGCGCGCAGCTTTTCCTGTGAACTCTCTGTATAATCTGTTCGTCTGTCTTCTTTCTTCCATGCTCTGTGTGCAGGCAAGGACAGCAGGTGGCACTTGGTTAGCTCTGCAGGTACACATGCGCTCTCCCCACGGGTCGAAACACGAAGCCTCGTGACCTTAAACCCTTCCATCTCAGATAATATTATACTTCGCATAACTTATGCATATTATATATATATATATATATAGTATATCCATATAATCAATATTAGGAACGCATTTCCTATATCTACTCTGCTAATATATATATAGAGAGATATAGCCAGCATCTAGCGCTATCAGCGCCATCTAGGTATTGATGCGTCATTCATCGATGACGTAGCATGAGGGCAGTCGTGCTTGCACTGCTTGATTCGTCGGCCTGTTGATGAAGACGACGATGACGACGACGACGACGACGATGACGACGACGACGACGACGACGACGACGACGATGATGATGCAGTAACCTGTTGCTAAGGCCAGGTGCCACTGATAAACTAGGCGCGCTGGTAGTGCTAATTTGTTATCATATATAGGTTGCCTATTTGTTACGCGCTAGCTATTTATGTGAGTATACGGACCCTGGCAGATTCAACCCGCTGGTTGATTCTGATCTATGATGTGTAGCTACATACATGCGTGCCAACCTTCGCGGAATAATATATGTATATTATGTATATTATATATATATACTATATATATACTATATAGCTAGCTTGCTCTTAAGGCCGATGGTATGGGTACTACTACTCGCATGGTATGCGCACTGAAATTTTAGATTATTAGATGGAGTAGGGGCGTATTATTAGCATTATCAGAATGAGAGCTACAGAAACAAATGTTCATATTTATTTTTCTTGTTTTCTTTTCGTGACCGACCACACAGGACCCACGACTCGTATTTCACCATCGGAGGTAACTGTTGAGTGGTTGCTAGCTGTGTGGCTCTCTCATGCTAGATGTCTGGCTGGTTGGCTGGCTGGCTGGCTGGGCTACTGATGGCTGGCTGGCTGACCGGCTTGCTGATTGGCTGGCTGGCTGCTGGCCTACTGATTGGCTGGCTGGCTGACCGGCCTACTGATTGGCTGGCATGTCTGACTGGCCTACTGATTGGCTGGCTGGCTGACCGCGCTACTGATTGGCCTGCATGTCTGACTGGCCTACTGATTGGCTGGCATGTCTGACTGGCCTACTGATTGGCGGCTGGCTGACCGGCCTACTGATTGGTGGCATGTCTGACTGGCCACTGATTGGCTGGCATGTCTGACTAGCCTACTGATTGGCTGGCTGGCTGACCGGCTTGCTGATGGCTGCATGGCTGGGTGGCCTACTTGATTGGCTGGCATGTCAAACACCTGTGTAGCATACCTATAGCATGTCAAACACCTGTACAGCATACCTATAGCATGTCAAACGCGTGTGGAGCATATCTATAGCATGTCAAACACCTGCGGACCATACCTATAGCATATCATACACGTGTGGAAAATTCGGCAGCAGAAAAACATAAAAAGCAGGAACTTTGGCATGCACTAATGTGCTTACTGATTGGCTGGCATAGCTGGCTAGCTCGCTGATTGGCTGGCTGTGATACCGTGTATTTAGCTGACTAACTGCGTGGTTGCCTGGCTTCATATTTCTGTGGTTTACCGGATGGCTGTGTGGTTGGCTGGCAGGTTGTGTGGCTGGCTGGCAGGTTATGTGGCTGGCTGATTTTCACGCGCTACCTCCGCATGTGTGTTCTGTCGTCTTACCCCTTATGTTACCCTTACGTAGTTACTACCAGAGCACATCATCTCATCACATACACTCCCATCATACTGAGTGGCAATTAATGTGACTAATTACCCATAGGTGGCGCGGCCAGCCTGTATAAATGCTAATAACCCATGCATCAAATCGTGATATCTAAGTAGAAGGAATTAGCCTGCCTGCGTTGATTAGAAATTGCGTACTTAGGATAGAAATTGAGTTCATGGTTGCAAATCGTCGTGTTGCCAATGCTGACGTATTTGTTGCCTTAGAAGT